TATTCCACGCCCCACCCTGGCTGGGCAGCGCCTGCCCCACTCTCTCCCTCACTGTGGGGGCCTCTATCTGCCCCCCCCACTCTCCTTCTCTCCCCTTTTGCCCCTTCCACCACAACAGACTTACCAGCCAGATGCTGCTTTCCAAGCTGCCAGGCCGCAAATCAGCAATTAAATCAGTATCGGTAGATATGGCTCATTAAAAACTCAGCATTGGTATCAGCCCCAAAAAATCTATATCAATGTACCCCTACCTTTTTACTATTCTGAAGAAACTGGGTTGTCCCCCCAAACTGTTGAACATCATTCACCCATTACATCGAGGCAGCTATAGTGTATGAAAACAAACGCCTTTGACATCAACAATGAAGTGAAACAAGGTTGTGTCTTAGCCCCCTGCTTTTTAACATCTACTTTTTATTCCTGCTTCTTCATCCATTCAAGGACAGCAATGATGGCAATTATCTTTGAACCAAAGTAGATAGAGGCTTGTTCAACATGATCTCGATGATCTGTTGAGGTCCCTTCCGACCCTAACATCTATGAACATTGCAAGGTTTACAGTGAAAAAGAACTGGTTCTGAGAGATTTCCTCTTTGTAGATGATGCGGCCTTGGTTGCCCACAGTGCATCTTCCCTGCCAAATCTCTTGGGCAAGTTTTCTGAGTCATGCAAGAGCTTCTGGATGGCAGTTAGTCTCAAAAAGACTGATCATGTACCAAGGGGTGGAAGAACCAATACCTGACACCACCCTGGAGGATAAAACTCTTGGTGTCATTGACAGCTTTGGCTAGGTGAGTTCTACAGTCAGCAGGGAGCTTGACCATCAGACTGAACTGACTAACAGAATCAGAAACTCAGTTAAGCATTGTGGGCTATTGCAGAAATGCGCACAGAATAAAAGCAAACTACCAGCTAAGGTAAAGATACGAATCTGTGAGACTTGTGTGCTGTCGTCCCTGCTTTATGGTTCAGAAATGTGGACTACATATGCTAGACATATAAAGAGATTCAACAGCTTCCACATGAGGTGCCTGCATAAGATCCTGAAAATAAAATGGGAAGACAGAATACCAACCACAGAGGTAATAGAGCACAAAGGACTGATGCACTTAGAAACCACTATCCAGAAGAAAAGATTGTGATAGGTTGTCCATGTCAGAAGAATGGGAGAAGACTGTATCCCCAAGGATATTTTGTATAGTGAGATTTGAGATGGCTTTAGAAAGCAGGGTGGTCCTCTTTTTGCAAAAATGATAACGCATTCTATATTAAACATTAACGTAAAAACCTGGGAGGAGTGTGAAGAATCTTGTCCACTCTGGAGGGAATATCTGGCACTAGGTGCAGCTCAACATGAATAGCTTTGATCTAGAGGATGGAAGAATAGTGAGAAAGAAGAAAGCATGCTGTAAACTTGGACTCCAGCTCAGGCAACATGTGGATCTGTGAAACTTGTAACAAGCTGGGGTTTTTTTCTCTCAAATTGGGCTTGTCAGCCACAAACGGATTGATCTGGCATCTGAATCTGTGTACATGTACACCGTGATCCACAGGATTGACGGTTACTTACTACTACTAACTTTTAAAAAACAAATAAACCAGTAGCATGATTTTTTCTACAGGTAAAATTATAGGTTTCTGTATGATGTGCTAAAAAGTGTACTATCTATAGATGAGATTTTCAAATTAAGCCAGTTGGAATTGGGTACCTCAAATCCTTTTGTGCCTTTGAAAATCTCCCTTTTAGTATAAGTGTGGGTGTTGGGTTGTAGATTTTTATAAAGGGTTTCTGATGTCAAGAAGCTTATAAGCAGCTGAATGTTCTGGTGCTTATTAAAATGGTGTGTGGCCAAGCAGAACATTTTCTTTATCTGAAATTTCATGGCAGTGTTTAGCTTGGTTGCCAGACTTGGCCACATGCTGCAAACAAACCTTCTTCACTTATTTCAGATTGTTAAATATTTTTTTTCACTTGTGCTTGCAAACCTTTTCTGCTAACGTTCCATAAATGTTCTAGAGAATACTGGCAGAAACAGAATGCAGGGAGACCAGAAGTATTTGTGGAAGTTAAATTTTGTGTAAACTTAGGCAAATAAAAACTAAATTTTAAATTGTTAAATATGAGTATTCACTCTAACCTCTCATTCTTAGTGTTATACGTACCCAGCTGGGTACATGGAAGCAGATCATGTGATCTGTAAATCCATTTAAAATAAATTACACCACTTAAATTTCAAATACTTGGGAGTGAGAAACAGACCAATAAGTATTAACAAAATAAGCCAAAATAACAAAACAGATAGTCATAACCTGTTTACGCTCAGCTGGAAGACAGAAACACAAGTGGTTCATAGAATATATATCTCGCCTAACTCTGAGTCACATTCTTACTGCTGTTTCATAGAATTTCTCTCTGATGTATATGGGCTTCTATCTGTCCCTTCTGACCCTACAAACTATGAAACTATGAATCCTGAACATGATGAAGGAAGTCAGGATGCTTAAACTGACTTGTCCCCACAACAATTCATTTTTTCTTGTTGAATTTCTTCAGAACTCCAACATGAAAAATATTAGGCTTCCCAACATGCAAATATGGAATTATGAGGACTTTTGAAAATATTTGGTCTTTACAGAGATCCTAAGTTTTCAGACAGAATTACAATTCCATGGCTTTAAAAAATTGTTGTGGTAATAAAAAGGTAAGCTCACCTTTCTGTCTGATTTGGGGCCTGGTAAGTGGTTTTGGAGTTATTTTAGTTTGTTGGTTCAAGTGTTTAAACATTTGTTCCAAGGCATGACCGGCTTGCCCTCAATATAAGACAGTAATGCAGAAGTCCTGAGGTAACCCTGTATCCTACTTAAGTGTAATGGGATTCAGTGTTGATTCAAGGACTTGATCTTTCACCATTTAAGTCCACGTGAGTTTTGTCATTAATTTAAACAGATGCAGAATCAAAGTCCAATTACACAGTATGTGGGCCTGATCCAGAGAGGTACTTATTGGGTGGCTTTGAAGTCAACTGGAGTTGTGGGTGCTTAGTGCATAGTATAGCACTATGTTATTAAGCACTAAAGTAGCATAATGTTATTACCCAAATTACTGGTAACCTTGCAGATTGACTACTGATAAAAGAGGCAGAAAAAGGTCTACAGCCCAACCTTTTATTTGCTTGCATTTCAAAACACAAAAAAACACATTTATCCCAAGGTCTGTCTGGCTACTCATGACAGTACAACATAGATTCTCACCTATACCAGCTGGGAAGAATCAAGAGGTGAGAGGTGGGTGGCACACAGGTTGGCAGCAGGCCTTTTTGAACTTGCTGAGTTCAAGAACTTGCTGCCATAAGCTGGTACCCACAATGGCCCAGAGCCTGCACATCCTGCAGCTCCTCCCTGCCACCACCAACAGCGCGCAGCCCCAGCCCGACCGATGCCTGTTACGAGCTGCCTGCCCGCACTGGGCAGGGCAGAAAAAAATCCAAATTAGCTGACCTTATGCAAAAGTTGAACATTTTAAATGGCAGCAAAGTTAATGTCTTTTATTTCTGTCTTCATTCAGATACAGACTGCACACTTCAGTCACATACAGTACATCCAGATTTCCCATGCTAAATGGTCCTTTTTAAAAGTTGTATGTGATTTGGACATATAGCTCCAATTCTGGAGAAGTTGTGAAAATTGCTGTAGCTTCATGAAATTAGTACAACTGTCCAAGTTTTCCCCAGCTAAGGATCTAGCTTGGATCTGAACTATAGAGACATTTTTAGAAGAAAAAATAGTTTTTCAGTGTGAGAGAAATGATCAGAGGTTACATCCGACTTGCACCAGCAAAATTCGGCTAGGCCTCAGAATACTGATTTACTAGAACTTGTGAGAACACTACTTTTGATTGCAAACAGATTGTTTCTTAAATTGATGGGGTGAAGGTGGTAGGTTTCCGTGGGATGATATGTACAACAGCTTTAATAGCTGTTGTTACCAGATTGTTACTAGAGGCAGATGCATAATTTAGTGGAGGAAACATGGATCTCTTGGCAAGTCTGGGATTTGATGAAACTTTAAGACAGGTGATTACTAGCATAAGTCTGACTATAATAATATTGTGCATAACTTCTTCCATTTTCCCCATCACTCACTGTTATGTTTGTTTCTTATTTTAACAGGGTTTTGAATATAGCCGTAGTGGAAACCCGACAAGGGATTGCCTGGAAAAGGCGGTTGCAGCACTGGATGGAGCCAAATACTGTAAGCCGGCAACCTCTTCATTAAGCTCTGTCAGCATGCATCTCTCTTCAGAATGAGCTAATGTAGTATGTCCAAAACTTTTTAGGTTTACATCCCACCACACTACAGTCTACCCTTCTCGCTCCTCCTCTGTTTCCCTTGCTCTAGATGTTCCTCTTCTAACTGCTGCTGCTTCCTCTGCCACCATCCTGGCTTTATGCCCTCCCTGGGAACTTCCCCACAGTTTGGGAAGCGCTAGAATATAAAAGTACCTTGTGAAGAGAAAAGAACCTGAGCTTGAGCATTAAGTTAAAACAGTTAACTCAGATTTTCCTGTCAGCCTTCAGTTGTGAGTTACATTGCTGCTCTGTCCTTTTTTGTTAAAATATACCTGGGCATTTGGCCATAAGGATTAATTCCATTAATTTAACTTGGCAAGAGTGAATTGTTTCTGCTTTTAAATCTTTGTAAATCAGAGAGAGACAAGAGTCTGGAGTCTAATATTGTGGATCAGATTCATCCTAGTGTAATACTGTTGCAGTCAATGGAATGAATTGGACTGAGACCAATAGTTTATAGTCAGATTTTTGTCATCACTGCTCCTTGTGAAGACTGCTTTATGTGACAGGACCTGTTTCTTTAGAAAGGAAAACTAGGGGAAAAATATTTATACATTGACTTAGACAGATCTATTAAAAAGTGCCTTTTCTCTGCTATGCTAATTCTTTTTTCTCTTTTA